TAGGCATGAATTTTTGTTTTATGTTAACTATGCCTTTCATACTTTAGGCAAAATACTCTGGATGTCAAGGAAAAAGGCTACTTACCGACTGTCCTGGCGACCAATTTTTACGCTGTGAGATGGTAGCGATTGCCGCTACGTTGACTCCCGCGTTAATACTCATCACGCGTAGTTGTTCGATTTCCGCTCGTAGCTTCTGTACTTCATCTTTCTGAAATGGCAAAATCAAATTATGAAGAGTAAATCACTGTGGACCAAAAAACCTGAGTTGTCAAAAGCAGAAGGCAAAATCATGGCCCTCAGCTCCCTGTCGTGGAAGTCCCACGAAAAGCTGGCAACTATTGAAAGGGTGTGTGCACAGCGTGCAGCAGTCAGATGATAAGTACGTATGAGGGTGCCGTGCAATATAAAAAATATAGGTGCTTCAGCATGTGTGTGGAGTACAAGAGCCGGTGAAGCAGTGATAAGTCGCGTCCGTATGTGAAGACGAGTGGCACAGGTACAAAACCCTTTTCAAGAGGAAGCTTGATCGACGAGTTTTCACTCCCCCTCACTCGGTATTTGTTCGCTTTGAGGAAGCAGCCGAAAGCAATCAAATAGTAGCAAGCTTTATCAATCACCCGCTGGCAAGGCTGTTGATAACTCCCTCTTTGAGGGATAGCTAAAAGCAGGCTAATTGCGGATACGGTATTTGCTTAGTTTACCATCAAAATGAATGAATGATCCATAGGACTAATCTGGCCCCTGAGTTATAATTGAGTTAAAAGATGAAAATCAAAGAAAAAGTAAAAAAAAGCCAAAAATATGAAATTAGCTTGAAGTTTGTAAGACCACTACCAAAACATACTGATTACATGAAATCACGATTATAAAATCGGTTGCTACGTAAATTTACCAGCAATTCACCCAATTACTACGTAACAGTCATGATTTTCAACTATTTCGTAAAACCATTACTTAGGATTATAACCACTACATTTTCCTTGAAACCACGAATCCCTTCATTCTTGAAAATTCTTCAAACTCTGCCAGTAATCTGTATCAGTGTCATATTCACCGCCTATTATTCTGTGTCTCGAAAGAATCTTTGTAAAAATCAAGATAACCTTAAGCTGTGATTTGGATTGCAAATTCTCGACGTGTTTCGCCATGAGCTGTAGTTTAGACTCGAACAGCTGAATGAGATGATTGTAGCCATCATGTTTTGCAGTTAACTTTGTTATCGTATTCCTGTATGCCTCCATTTCCCTATTGAGTTTCCTGATTTCTGCCTCATATTTCTCCTCCATCTAAACGAACAGATTTGAACCCATGTTACAGAAGCATCAGTGGAAGCTAAAATTTAGGTGCTTTTTGATGAATTATAAGCATTTTCCGAAAGTACGAATTCAGATGTGAAGGATTTTGCACAGATTTGACAGAAACTTAATCTTATCAAGAGCTCCACTCAATGATCAGAGCAGTTCTGGTCAGCAGATACTGGTAATACCGTATTTTATTTAACCCAATAAATTTCAACAGCACTCTCTTCCTCGTTTTATTATCCAGAAATAAAATAGTAACAGAGTGCTCCGACCCTTATCTAAATTTTTTAAAGCTTCTTTTTGCTGCTAGCAACACTGGTTAAGCCGAAAAATATGTTTAACAAAATCCACACACAGAACCAAATACGATAATAATAATAGTAAAAATAATAATAATAGTAATGAAAATAATAATGATAGTAACAACAAAAGTTTCAGAAGCACATACCGATGAATAAAGTGAATTTGACGAGGATGTAAGCGACAACTGGGATCCGTTTGGTTCAGCAGAACAACTTGGAGACAACTTGGAAGCAGCAGACAGATATCCTGATTCCGCATATCGTGATGTTTTCATTTGCGGCGTCCTAAATCCAAAAAACAGCTGTTAGACATTCTAAAAAAAAAATTTAAATTTTTGGTTAGAAGTCTTGAGAAAAAATTTCGAAAAAATCATTTTTTGGAATCCTGCAAATTTGCGAATTAGTACCTTCGCTTAGTACACAGCATCATTTTCATCGATTTTCGAACTCTTGAGTTCATACTAGATGGCAAGAAATGATCAATCAACCTTTTAGTGAATCTCATACAAAATTTTGACATTTTCAGTGCTACGAATAGCAATAATTACCGGATCCCGTCATCGGAAAGCTTGTGAAGCTGCAGATTTGCATCACGATGATTGTAGTTCCCGTATATATTTTCTGTCTGTGACAACTTCCGACCAGATAATGAACCACCTGTAAGTTTCAGCACTGCGTGAAACGCGGCTTATGCAGCATAAACTTAAAAAACAGCTGATTATTTAGAACTGAGAGCGCTCTCGACTACTTTTCTGATCATAGTAACCCGGAGACAGAAGTGTGTATTTCAGTTTTGACTTCCATGAATCTTTTATTAAGACGAGCTTCTTTATTTTGTTTCATTTTTCTAAATCAACTCTTTTAGACCAACTTTTTTCCTTTTAACTCAAGATAGCTTCTTTCACTGAATCTTAGTGTCTCGCTAACAAAGTTTTCTGCATATCAATTCAACTTTTTTTTGCCTTTTTTGTCCTCCCACATGAACTGTTTTTACAATTATTGACAGAGGGAATTATAAAAAGATGGTAGAAAAAGCGGTAAACAAGAGCGGGAAGGAGAACGGCGAGTGGCACGTTCCTCCATTTCTAGCGCATTACCGGCTCCCAGAAATTAAAACCAAGACAATTCTCCTATGAATCATTTTTTGAGATTCCAAGAAGCTAGAAATACAGTATTTTATCAGAATTCTTTCCAAATTTCTATTTCTCTAGCTGCTAAACAATCTGCTGCCCACAGTTTAAGTTTAGGCATTGGAACAGGAATAAGCATCCTTCTAGTTTACATACTTGTTACAGGCTGGTTATTGGAGCAAACAAAGCCTTAATTACTAGCTAACAACATGTTACTCCAGATATCTAAAATGGAAATTTTGTCTTAAAAAACAAAAAAGCTAGCTCCAAAGCAACAAATGCACACGGGACAAAACACTTGGAGTTGATTTCTAATACAGAGCGCAGTGGTACCTAGAATGGTAACATGCACTAGATAGTTTAATGGGTAAGTAAGCAAGCAAAGTCCAAAGGGTAAATTATATCAGAACAAGCACTTCAAGAAACTTATTAGTTACGTGCGCGAAAACTTCTCGCATAATTCAGCGATTTAAAAAAGTCAGAATTCTCGAACTTTTATGCCTCTGAAGTAGAGTCGAGAAAAAAAAATCGAAATTTGGGAGTTTTTTGACGTTCCGAAAAAATTCAGGAGCCATGTTGCAATTCCCCGAATTTTCAGGAAAGGTAGTGGTTTTGGCGTCCATATCCCAAATTTCTTGTTTTTTCCTCCTTTTTAGTTTTAAAGGCCAAGGGGACAAATTGAAAGTATGCAGCTCAAAATCAAAAGGTCCAGCAAAACTGCGTTCTGCCTGTAGAAGCGTCCCAGTAACATCGGATACCCGCGCCAACTGTTTGCCAGCTTTTGCTGTTCAAATCGGGAGGTCAATATTCTGGATTTTGGGCTCATTCTCTCTATCATCTTTACTGATAATCCATGTGAGCAGCACCTGCACGCCGCTTATCGCACACATCAGTAGCTGGAGTATCATTGGTGGAGAATTCGGCGGCAACAGTAAGCGGTATCCGTTTGGTTGCCATTTTTCCGTTAACCGTTGGGGATGACCGATGGTCAAGCCGGCGACCGTTGTTCGGAGTGTTGTTGGGGGTCGTCATAGCTGTCGGAAGCTCCGAATCCGAGCCAGTACCATCAACCAGGACCATTGAGCGTGACATGCCAGCGGCAGAAAGAGAAACGGAACGCGCCGAACGATTAGCTATAAATATAGCAAGCAAAATAAATGATAGGGTTTAATAAAGCGATAAGTCGGTGATAAGCAAGGTTCAAACCCATTCTCAACATGCAGATTCTCCTGAGTTTCTGGGAGAAATCAGAACTTGAAAATGGAATTTTGTCCAATTCAAAAATGCCGGAAGCCCCTCTTTTATGGAACTTCCAAGAGAAAAAAAGAAGGAATGCCTGGTTTTTTCGGTTTCTCTGGCAGAGCGAACTAATATGGCACCACTGTTGCCACGGTTTTCGAAAATCGGATATCAAAACTCAGAAAAATTGCATGAATTCAATTCGATTTAAAACAAAATCAATTCTTAAAAGTTATGAAACAAAAAGTCACTCTCTCAAAAGCATCTTGAAATTCCCAAGCCAACCAGCACTTTTTAGTATGTAGTTAAAAATGCGCAAGCAAATCGTTAACCTGCATAAATTAAGCAAACCTTCAAACAGCAAACCAAAACTAAGAGAAAGAAAAAAGCCAAACTGATGTCTGCTAGATCTTTTATGAGCCAGGAACAAGTTAGGCCAAAAAATGAAAAGTAATCCCGAAACCACTAACTATCGCAAGAAATGTGCAACTAATCCATGAAAGAGCTTTCATGGAACAACTCTTCTTAAGAGCAGTATTGCGTGGGTTAGATTAATGGCCCGTATGAAAGCAGGAAAAAAAGCAAAAATTTATGGAACATGCGAAAATGGAAACACTCCACCACATGCTCTGAACAACTTGTATTATATATAATATGATTCTCCAGCTATACAACTGAAAAATTTTCCGGTTGCTTTGACCAATGCTGCATCGCCTGATAGTCAGTTTTCGGGCCTACGAATCTAGTAACTTCGCCAACTGTTTTGATCAGTGCTGTACCACCTAGTGGTTAGCTTGCTGACAGTCCTGATATTCTTTTTGTCCATCACATATCCTGACTAGGATATGTTTTTGCACGTTTCGCCTTATAGATTTTTTTACCTTTAACAAATGCAACAAAATTTTAAAAAAAAAAACTTTTTTTTCATCAAAATTTTTACTCATTTTTTGAGGGCGGCGAGGGAGATGAAGGAAGGAACTAAATGCGCAATCGTGGGGCCGCTAAGATTTACACGTTTCACTGCAAAATAACTTGTGCAATCATTTTTTTGAACGGAATCAAGCCGGGATTTAGGCCAGGCGCATTTTGTCCATAATAGCAAACAACAAAAAATTTCCATGCTTTTTTTTTCAGGCAAACAAGGTTGCGTGCATTGATGCTTTTCTGCTGCGAAAATTAATGCGTCTTTTTTTTTTGCGTGACATGCTACGTATTAATGAAAAAGAAGTAGGTCGGAGAGTAAAAATTATGCATGCAGCGATGGATACATCTCGTACATAACCATGATGTACCGTCGAGACTTCAGTTGCAAGTAGATACATCTAATAGCACAGAGTGCAAAAAATTCGAGATGACCACAGCTGATCACAGTGCGCTGAGAAACTGTCTACCCTCTGGAGCTTACAGGCCGACCCCACCACTTTTAACTAATTCCTTGCTTGATTACAACGACGATAGATCTGATTTTCTGGATAAACAAAAGCTGTGCAAAAATTGACCCACACTGCGCTTTTGAAAATCCCAGAAAGTCTAAATTTTTAGCATTTTCGAAAGAATTGAAGAATACGTGACAGCTGGGCATGGACAATGTACAACACGTTTCCTCTCCAATTTTTCTTTTTTTTTTTTTTTTTGAAAAATGGGCATAAAAAAAGAACGAACCGGCAACGCTGTGTCGATTGGCAAGAGTTGGTTCGATGTTCGGTTGCGCCAGGCTGAATTGCTGTCGACTAGGCACATGTCGGGGACTGACCATTGCCAAAGTGGCAGCAGATGTTTCCTGTCCCACAGCTGCTAACCTACAAATTATTAATTTATGAGCAAATGGGTCACCCCTGAGTCTATTATTACCTTTAATGGGAATTCACTTGAGCAAATAAACCACAAAAGCTTTCCACAGCGATATCTAAGATGAAAATAATCGAAAATGATCGTGACGGTGCTGCTTTTCTCTTGAAATATCGATAAAGGACCAATCAAGTCAAGTCCTAATTTTTCGAAATTGCGGCTATTCTTTTTCTCTAATTTTTAGCAGGACGGACAAGCAATGCGGTAAAATGGCGCTTTTGACCAGAGCGTCCCAAATCTCGATTCTAGTTATACAAATGCTGATGAAATCAAATTCAGGCCATCTCAAAGTATCCTTAAGGCAGGAGCAAACAAAACTAAAGCAGGTAGTAGGAAAGGTGGGTAAACTGGAGCACAGCTTTGAAACTTTCACCAAATCTTATGTTATGCGGTAAACAAAAAAAAATCACCTTCCTTACGGTTCGATTTAGTGACACCATTGAACTAGTAGATACTAGGAATC